AGCCCCAAAAGAGGAAACATTATCGTCAAACGCGAGAAACTTGTGAAACACTCATTATCCGACACTTATTTCGATCTAATAGTGTATTCAGCGGATCGAAACTGTGAAACCAATCAACAGACACCTCGAGATTTATCGATCTTGAATTAGAGACCCATTAACCCAAAACTCGTATGCCCAAAATACAAAAACATCAAATATAGACCCGTTAAGCACAAAAACCGAGGGATTTTAATCCTTAATTTTTTCTTAATGTGGGCTGAAATGATAAGCTTTGAAATTCTGAGTTTTCTCAGAGAGACAGGTGATCCATAGGCTCGAACCCGTTGAAGTCGAATCCAAGACACTGTACTTTAAACGATAAACTTTTAAGACAAACCCTGGAACCGATAATTTTTTCGAAATTTCGGCTAGACAGATCTCTTTGGAATTTATTCAGGATCAACCTCATCCATTGGTGTCGATGATCGATTGGAAATTCAGGTCCCTAGAGAATTTTGGACCAAAGCATGTCATCTAGCCCCACTGTGCGCCGCTTCTAATCGACGAGGCGTCCTGCGAGGCTTCCTTCGGGAATCGGAGTGAATTCGAAGCACAGCGCTAATTGAGACTCTCAGTGTCGCGCTGAGCCTAATGAGCGAGTTGTAACGCCATTGCCACGCTGCGTCGCGATGATTTCGAAAGTCCGGATTTCGCTGTCTTTGCGTGAAAAATCACGACGTCTTTTCCTGATCCTGATCACATACCGGTCCTCGCAAATGCGACAGGTGTTTACTGTTACCTGGATAAACGATGTAGATAATCATCCAGATAAAGTCCTGGCGCCAACGGGTGTTTGTCCAAACAATATGAAGACGCATCATCCTCTCATCTGCGTCTCAAATTGAGAAAAAAGCGTCCCATCAGATTTACTTATCGAGGCGATGACGTTCACGGATAATTTAGTTTACGTTGCTGCGAACGCATGCGAAATATAGAAATACTTTTTTCATATCGGCCTGCGTCGCATCGGGAGATATTCACAGGTTTGGGAAATAACTCGTTACTTGCAACGAAGTTACAGTAACAATTATTTTTTTTTTTTTTGGTAACTATAACTTAACTTCGTCCCGTTTTTTCCATCTGTAACTGTAACTTAACTTAGTTACATTTATTTTATAACTAGTAACTAATGTAATAGTTACTTTATATATTTCAAACTTAAGTTTCTGGCAGACCAGGCACGATAACGTGGCGCAATCGATGCTTGATATTCAATAAGCAAACAATTATTCTGGTTGCACTTGAAAAATGCGTCACTGCATCATCTATCTTTATCGTTCATTAGATGTAAAACAAAGATAAAATGACGCAATAGCCTCCTGATAGTCTCCTCTCTGAACGCAACCCGTATTTCTTTAAAAAAAAAATGGCACGCCTATTGAACATTTCCGTCGCGCGTCGCCAGTCCTTATTTGTTAACATAACCTGCGTTCAGCGTGAAATGCGCTACGTAGTTTCAGTTATATAAAAAATTCTAGCAATTGATAAAACATCTCAATCTTCGGAGAAGGATTGTAGAATGCTATGGCCAGCATATGCAGAAATATTCGAGTTACAGCAAAAATTTGGAAACGAAAACAACTGGGCATTTCTGTGCAAAACATGCGCTGGCAAAAAAGTTATTCATGCAAGTAAAATTTCAATTGCAAATTTAAAAAAACATATGAGTATAAGTCTTTATCTATAAAATATCAATATATATTTTTAGTGAAAAATCTAATTTTTTATATCAAGATTACTTTTAGTATTTTGAATATTTATTATCCTTATCGAATTCATTCGCTTTCTTATAATTGTTTTTAATAACTTTAAGAATAAGTATTAATTGTTTATTTAAATTAATGAATCTAATTTGTGAAAGTTATATACAGTATGAGAAATATAATAATCAACAAATTACTTTTATACAAAATTGAAGGAATTTACACAATTGCGAAATTTAAAATAATAGCACAATTATTGTCAAGTAACTGAAAAGTAGCGATTCATTACTTTCTAAATAACTACAACTGTAACATGTTATTTTTGAAGGTCAGTAACTTGTAACTGTAACTAATTACTTTTTCAGTAAACAAAAAAAAACTGTAAATGTAACTAGATACTTTTACAAAGTAACTTTCCCAGCCCTGGATATTCGTCCGCAATCGCAGAGTGCGAGGAGAGACTTTGACATTTCATCCCGCCCGCGCATCCGGCTGATTTTCAATCAAAGCACCCGAGCGCGACAGCGAGAGGACGACTTACACGCGTTAACAATATTCCTACGATGTCTCGATTGTTGCGACGTGACGGCGCCTGATGTCGAGCGGATTAGAAAACGACAGCGACGAACGCTCGCGCGGCATCGATAGACGTCAATCTTCGTGCGCGCGCGCCGAGAAGCCACTCGAGCGCTACTTGACGGATCCTCCCGCGAGGCTAATTACCGATTCCACATCGCATTAATGAACTTGCTTTGACTCCCCCCCACTCGACGGCTCGCCGACTCCGAGCCCAGGCCACAATATAAGAAAGAACAGTAGGTTCACTCAAAATAGTGCGAACGGTCGTTTGTCGCGCATGACTGAACTGCACAACCAACAATATGGCGGCCAATAGCTGTCAAAATGTGTAAGCGTAAGCAACGATTAACCGGACATGACCGGATTTTTAATATAATATTGTTGTTTTATCAAAATCAGTAAAATGAATGAAAGAGGTGGGTATAAATGTTGTATAATAAACTACAAAAGTGCAAATTTAAATTTGCAAAGTATTAAATTTTGTTTTAATCAAAATGTGTCCCCTTCGAAACAATACAATATAAATAAAAGGCGGACCTCAATATCATCTAGTTTTCAAGATTTTTTACCTGTTACGTGAGAAATTTAGCACTCTGTATATATATACATCTTTCTACATTATAATTAGTAATATGCTATATATTATTAATTATGACATTATTAACATATTATATTAATAATAGTTCATATTTTTATATTATTTTATAATGTATATTATAGATTTGACAGTAAATATTGAAAAACAGCAATAACAGCTGTTTTAGCTACTATTCATTGTCATTCAAATTATAACCCGCGCACAACCAATAACATGGCGGTGTTGTAGCACCTAAGATCAAAAGCACCGCCACCGAGTGAACCTACTGTTCTTTCTTATACTGTGCCCAGACTGCGCTTTCACGAGGGTCGACTTCATGCGGACGAAGCCGGCCCGCAGCTTGCGCGACGCGCCGAACGTATTGCGAAGCCGCGGACTAGTTGACGCGGGCGGCGGAAAAATATACAAATTATGAGCCGTCCTTGCAGCGCGCTTGGAGGTTTGCCGATTAAAAATTAAAATGCGCTGACGTTAGTTGCCGCTTCATTCGATAGATCATTCGGCGGGGATTAACCTGCCTGCTGCGACGACGAATGCAAATGATGACGTTCTCGCCGGGAGACGAGGCGGTCGACGTTACGATCGTAACTTTCAGCGACTTAGCATAATACCGAAGTTTCCCCGATACGACAGCGTCGTCGCGTTTGGCTCGCGTTTTCTGAGAATACGGCCCGGCTCGGCTGCGATTCTCCATTGTCCGCCGGAAGGATGTCAGAGCGCTCGCATTCATATTCCGCCGCGCGGCTCGGCCGAAAAAATCCGCAGGCCTCCGCCGTCTCGGCGCGGTACGCTCGGGCGAGTTCCAATTATCGCAACTTCCAGGCGACGTCGCCGCTCCCTCGCAAATCGGCGTGAGGAGATCGCGCGGGACTTTTGCGCAGGGATGCCGATTTTTTGTTTTCGAAGGGATCGATTTAAGGATCGATTCGAATCACGAAGAAACAAATCGATCTTTGAAAAATCGGTTTGTAAAGAATCGATTTCAGAAAATCGATTTGAATCGGTATGCGTGTAAAGTGAACTACTCATTAAAGTATATTATCTGTCAAATTTCTACACTCTAAAGTAGACCTTGCATAATTCATATAAAGTTTAATATGAATTGAAGAAATTAAACAGACGGTACTCCTTTGGTTGTGTTGTATGTGGCCACAACAAGATAGAAAAAGATCTTTAAATCTTTATGCTAAGGATTTAATTAGTTTGATTAAACATCAACCAAGGGTTTTTAAACGTTATTAAATAAGAAGTCACGTTTACTATTATATGCATATACATATGTATATAATACATACTATTACATGGAGTGGCTGTGATTGGTTCGCGCGTTCCGTTCCGCTGAAAATTTTCGCCCATGGGACATCGACCTAAAGGCAACGCAATGCGCGTCGTGCAGCCATTAAGTTAGTCCAAATATTACAACTAAAAAGAATTAAAAAAAAACTAAATATGTTACCAGTAGAAACTGAAAAATTCGTGTTGGCGATTTTCAGAATTTACAGATCGATCCTTGAATCGATTCAGTTCCAGAAAATCGATTTGAAATCGATCTTTTAGGCTCCGATTTAGGATCGGTCTTCGATTAAATCGATTTAAAATCGGCATCCCTACTTTTGCGCCGCGCTCGAGCGCGAAGTGTCTCGTACGTCGGCGAAAACACGAACGAGATCGATCCGCCGTTCGCCTCTCGAGCTCTCGATCCTCGGCCGGACGCGAAACATGCGGCGATAAAAGTCGGCCGTCTTGTTCTCTCGCGGGAAGGGGGAGGAGAAAGATAACACTGCCGTCTCGCTGATCTTCCCACCTTTTCGCCGGCATTTCGTTCCCCACCGGCCGCGATTAAAGGAGACTTAATTAAACGGCTTTTTCGTCCCCTCGCGAATTATCCCGGTCGCGCGCGTGCGCGCGCGCGCGCGCACGCGGCGCTTTGTAGTCGGCCGGGCGAGCTTCGCTAAACTCGACTTTAATTTGCTTGGGGTTTAAATTTGCAACCTCAATCGCGGAAACGACCTATTTGCGGCATAATGAAAAAATTCAACGAGCGACTCGCGTCGCGCTCGCGACGCGCGTGTTTCCAGGTGAAAGAGGTAGAGGGAGGGAGGGAGAGAGGAGGGGGGAAAGAACGCCGATGGATGGACGTCGACGAGGCTGCCTTTCATTAGCAAGAAACACGTTCGATTCAGCGCCGATCATGCGGTACCTGCTGATGTTCCAGATACTAATCGCCGCGGTGCAGCCCAACCTCGAAGCCCGCCAACGTGCGCCCAACGTCAGAGGTGAGTTTTTGCGCCGACGTAAACACAGCTTCGCTATTCATCTGAGATGAATTCTTGAGAAACGCGCGTCACCAATCGCGGTACTCCGATTGCGCCCATCGTCTCGCGATTCAAGCGCGATTGACGAGGCCGCGAGCGAAGGAAGAAGCCGCTCTCCACGTCGATTGTCATCGTGCTCCTCGTATCGGGCTTCTCCCGCGCGTTTGATCTTGATAGAGAGAGAGAGAGAGAGAGAGAGAGAGAGAGAGAGAGGGAAAGAGAGAGAGAGAGAGAGAGAGAGGGGTTCGCGACGCGAACGGAAATACGACGGAATCGCGCGCGACTCGATTCGCATGCAGTCCCGCGTCCACTTTCTCGAGTTTCTTCGACTCGCATGAAAACTGGCCGCGGCGGGTTCTCGAGAGAGTCTTACCTTTGCGGGGCGCGCTCCTATTAAGAGCATAGCAGAATAGGAGTGAGTCGCGGGATTTTGCAAGCGGCCAGAGCGAGAGCAAGAAAGAGGAGGAATCGCGCGAGAAAGGACCAGGCGCGCGCGCGCGGTTCCTCCGGGTGACCGGGGCGGGGTGTGTTGTAAAATGCTAATCCCCGGCTTATTTATACGTCGGGACGCCTTAATGGCTGTTAAAGGCTGCCCGATGCTGATTTTAAATTATGTCGATAAATAGCCGGAGTGTGTCCCGGCGGTCACTCCGCTCGCGCTTCGTCACCGCCCGACCGCCGAGGCTCGCGAGGATCTCGGCGTCGCGGCGCGCGCGACTCCGCCGATCTAATCGGACGGTATCGAGCGACGTCCGGCTGGCGGACGGCCAATCGATAGAAGTCTCTCAGCGTGCTGCTCCTGACGTGACCGAAGAGACGCTGATTCCGCAAAGCCGCAACGTCGACGCTGATCGAGCCCGCGACGAGCCGTTCGATTCGTCGACGACGTCGAGTGGAGAGATTAATGCGCATGAGTCAATCGACGACAGGATCAGACTGACGGCGCGGCGCGAGGATCGCCCGATTATTCGTCCGCTGCGATACTACCGCTGGAGCCGCTCGCGTTCCGCGGAAATCACCGGAATCTCCGGGGCGGCATCTCCGCGCTGCCGCGCTCTTTGTGCGCGCGCCTCGCGGTCGCGGACGAGAGAATGGCTCCCTGCGACGACCTCTTTCCTTACAAGCCCGCTCTCTCATACAAGCCCCATTTGCACGATTGTACTCGCGTCGAATCGTTTGTCAAGCGCGCGTCCGCACACGCGACAGGCCGGGCTGATGGATAGCGTCCTTCTTCCTCGCTTTTCCCCGGCGCGGCGCGCCGCAGCGCTGACGCGCCCGCCGCTTCGTTAACATCCGAACGGAGACAAAGGACTCTTTCCGACGTGAGCGACGCGCGCCGAGACGGATTTCGCGAAGACGGCGAGCGCGCGGCATGCAAAAAGACCGGATCTCGCGGGACCGCCGCGCGCGCGCGCGCGCGCGCCGGGGCGCCGCAAAAACAAGCCGCGACGCGACACGACGCGACCGGCGCGGCGCGGCGCGGCGCGGCGCGGCGACGCGACGGCGGACAATGGACCGCGAGCGAAATGGCCGAGAGGTCGCCGGCGCGGGCCGCGGCCTTTTCAATGTAGATCGCCGTCGGTAGCGCGTCCTCCTCCTAATGAGCCCGAGCGCTCGTAAATATTTATTCGTTCCGTAGGCGAGGAGACAATGCGCGCGAGACGTCGAATTACGGAGCCGGAGCCGGGCAGCCGGGCAGAGCGCCGTTCCGAAATTACCCTCTCGTTAGGGGGTAGTTATTATGATCAGGCAAAATTACACGGCGCGCGTGGGGGACTTGTTTACCGAACGCCGTGGCCCGAGAGCCCCCGGCCGCGGGTTACTGACACGGGGTAATTTGTCCGGCCTCGCGATAACCGCCGGCGTCTCTGTTTGGTGATTGCTGAATTATTAACTCGCCGGAGGTAACGTAATGACGAGGCATTAGTGCGGTTTGCGCCTCGTCGCGTCGATTGCCCTTCTCTCTCTCTCTCTCTCTCTCTCTCTCTCTCTCTCTCTCTCTCTCTCTCTCTCTCTCTCTCTCTCTCTCTCCCCCCCCCCCCCAATTTGGAAATTAACCGGTCGTGCCGACGCGAGAAGAAGAGCTCTCGCCGCGCGCGTCTCCTGCGAGATCGTTTCCGACGAAACGACGAGTCCGGGAATCGGCGAAAGTGCGCGCCGTGTTCTCTCAATCTTTCTCTCGCTCACTTTGCAGTTTGTATCTTTTTTGTCCCTCTTGTGCATCCCATGTCGAGGAATTGTCTTCTAGATGATTTGGCTTAGGGTAAGTCCGGGATAGATGGACATAGGGGATAGATGGTGAATTGTCATTATTTTGTTAATACATGCTAGGCGTCAGCGCTGATCGGTTACTTGTCAGTTGGATGCGCCACGAGTAGGTGTGTCTCTTCCTGATGCACAAAAACACTGTTATTGTGAGTAAATAAATGTTTTATAATGTTTCTACTAATCTGCAAAATGTTTCACACGTCGGAAAAATACCTTGCGAATACGGTTTATTTTGAGTTACAACATTAGACCTGGACTTAACCTTTAGAGGACCGGCATTTTTCCTTTAAAATTTGCAATTTTTTTCGCGGAAAATTTATATATACCATATATATATGTGTGTAACCATCATGTCGCGTAGAGTTTCGAGTTTGTTAGTAGCTCCTATAGGAACCACCCCGATCCGAAACGGAACGGCCAAAATAAAAAATGTTCAAAATTTGGATCTTGGCATTTTTAAGAGTCTTTTTTATATCATTGATATAAAATAAGTCTATATTACTATAAGTAATCTCATACGGTAATAAAACTTTTCTTTAATGTAACCCAGAACCAACGACGTAGACGTAGAAAGTTATGTAGCTTTTTTGTTTTTTTATACTTTTTGTTATTTAAAAATTTTTTTAATTTTATTTTTTATAATTTTTTAAGTTTTGGTTTTAAAAAATAATGAAAATTATTTTATTTCAAAAACTATTTTTCTGTATTTTTTATACTTATTTGTTACTTTTAGAGTGATTGTTATCACATTACTTCAATTGCGCTGTGCAATTGAAACTCTAATAATGTTGTGTGCTGATTTTATATAATTCTGAGAGAAAGTGGATTTATTATAAATAAAAACGTACTGAGATGCAAATTACTAGTAGCAGTTAAAATGTGTACTTGTTAATAAATATTTATTTACAAGTAAGGTAAAAATCACACGGACACATATGCAAATATATTTTTAGAGCACATAAACATCAACATAAATGCATAAATAACTATAATATGACCTTTAAGAAAACACTGAATGCCGATTTATATGTGCCTATTTATATATCCTATAGGAGCCACCCCAGTCCTCTAAAGGTTAAACAACTAAAAAACATCGTACTTGCGTACTTAATCTCAAAATTCGTCACCGAGACTACGTTTCACGCGGTATACGCATCTTTACGTTTTCTAGATGCTTTAGATGTATAAAAGATGTCGATCCAATGTCTATTCGACTGTCATTTTTTCCTGGGTACCTAACATTAAAAACTTCAGTACATTTTAAACAGCTTCTTGTTTCGTTTAAAGATGCCGAATAGATTTCTTTCTCTTTTCTCTCTTTAATAAATATTGTTTTCCTATAAGGCATTTTTCTGTGTTGCCACTTTTCAACCTTCTCTCCAACGTTATCCTTGGTTTCTAACTTGTGAAAGTTTCTAACTAAGAAACTTGTGGAAATATTTTATTTTATTAATAATCAACAAAAGTATTAATAAAAAGATTAATAATTAATAAAAGGAAAATACTAAAAAAGTACTAAAAACATTAATAAAGATAAACAAATTCCTACATTATTATAGGCACGCCCAATTATCCCTTCATATAACTACGTATCTAACTCGGACACACCTGCGACCGTCTATCTCTCACAGAATATTTTTAATATTTCGTCATTATTGGCGTCCCATGAATTTTTTCTCACAAAAATTCTTCCCCACCTTCTGTATCTCCTTATCCTCTACTGAGTGTGTTAATATGTTGTTGATCGTTCATTGCAATAATACAGATGTGTTATTTCCAATTAAAAAAATTATGTTCACCTATGCCAGCCTTACCTTACGTTAATTCAGCCAACTGATGATTTATTCTGTAAAGTATGAAGTTAACATCCGTAAGGTTACAATAAACTCTGTTTTAATTCACTCTCTCTCTCTCTCTCTCTCTCTGTCTCTCCGTCGCTCGCTGCCTCGAGCTGCAGCCCGAGTGTGCGCTTGTCGACCTCACGGGCGGAAAATCACTCGCGAAAATGACATGTGCCTTCGCCGCTTCTGTCTTTGCCGTCGCGCGTACTACACGACGGGCCCCGTGACCGCCGGATGCAATCAATTTTTCGATTGAAAATATATCGACCCCGTCCCCTCCCCCTTCCGCCGTCGGTTTAGAGCGGTGCGAGCCGCTGTTTGAAATTGATTTCCTCGGGATTGAACGGGCTCGCGAAATCGTTTAGATGGATTCCGATTGGAATACATATAATTGCTCGGAGCAACCCAATTTACATGCCGGGCCGCGCTCGTTACGTATTCCGGACGGCGGATTTTTGATGGCGGCAAATTTCCGCCGGCGTCAAAGGCGTCACACAAGACACAGCTCGGCGCGGCGCGACGCGCAAAATCGCCGCGGGTAAATTATCGACGAGCGCCGCGAAACAAACGAATAAATAAACGGGCGCGCAAAAGTCCGAGGCGTCCACGCCCATTTCGACGCGCGCCGAAATAAAACGTCCGGCCGCGAAATATCGTAATCCCGAAACGTTTCGCACACGTGGCCGGCCGCCGCGAGCGGAGCCCGTATCCTCTTTATCTTTCCACGAGAATCACGGAGCCGCGCGATGGCGCCAAACGTCCGCAAAATCGACGACCACGAGAGGATGGAACAGAAAGAGAGGAAGAAAACGAAGAGGCAGGGGAAGGAGCAAGAGAAGAACCTAGCCGATC